AAAACCAGCAGCCCTTTCCAGACGGTTAAATATTAATCTTTTTATGTTTGGAATGAAACCATGTGAAATGAGAAACGGGCCAATGTTTGCATCATTTAAATTCAAGTTATGTTAAAAAAGATCAAAGTAAAAGCATTTCACCCAACATCCACATTGACGGGGCGGCACTTTCGCTACTCAGCAAAAAAGTTTGAATCCCAGAACCCCAGTCCAAATCGGAACAGGGTCTTTCTGGGTGGAGTTTGCATATTCTCCCCATGTCTGTAGGTTTTCCCTACCACTAAAAACATGCACACAAATTCAGAAGGAAATAATAATTGAGATCAAGGTGGATTCATTGTGAAATAATTGTTCAGACAGAGTACCAGTAATCCTACAAAGATTGCGTCTCAACAACTGACCATGTGCCGTTTTGTGCTGCAAATAGGTTGGATAGAATGGCTCAAAAATATACATGAAAGTAGAAGTGATTGGTGAATTGATCCAAAATACGCATTTATTGATAAAGAGGGAAGTATAGAAGTGTAGGTATTGGTATTAAAATACTGACAGGCAAGGGCACTCTGGCAAAAGATAATTTTAACCTTTTTATACCTGTTAAATAAATATTTATAAATAAATGATCATTGCTTACAGTCTATTACCAAAAAATTAAAAAGTTCTCTCATTTGGGTTTTGTACAAGCTCTGAGCCAATAATCAACATTATAACAAATAAAGGCTTGATATATCTCATGTGCAATAAGTCTTTACATGCTTTGAGTATGTTTGAGTTTGTCTTTAGGTAGTGGTCGAGTGGAAATATGAATATCCTTCTTTTTTTGTTCTTAAATCGCTTGTTGCAGTATTACTTGGTATTTGGATTTATATTGGATTTATAACAAAACAAATGAGCAGTTTAGTAGTTTCAGTTCCGAAGATCTTATTCCAGCTTCACAGAATATCATTGTCACTACTCAGTCACTACATCCTCGACGTAATGGTGCTTGTGTCCCCTAAGGCACTCTCTTCACAAAACCCATAAGTAGCAGCCAATAGCTCAGGATTAGATTCAGAGGGTGTTTGATATGGAAAATGGCAGTATTACACAATGAAAAGAAATGATAGAGAAAATACTGCATGTGGGGATGAGATAGGTAAGTCTCACAATGGCCTCTTATTCGCTTAAACGGCAGTAGTAGAAATAGTATTAACAATTGAAAAATTCTTGCAATACTTACTTTTAAGAAGGATTTTTCAGTCCTATCTGTTAGTTTTGACAGCGTTACACAAAATATTAACATTTTGCATTTGAAAAAAAAAATATTATTTAAATAATTGCTCGATGTCCATCTTTCAAAAGAGCCGTAATTACAATAAAAATAAGGATGGATATGAATGAAAGCCTAAAGGCACCAGATGGATGTTGAAAAATTCCATCGACTACCCTGTCCTGTACTGCATACTGAAGTTCAAGAGGTCTTTCAAATATAATAACATACCAGACGGCATAACAATACACTGAAGAGTTGTAAAAGTGAAAGCTATTATAAGGGAGTGTGAAGCAAAACACAGAAAGAAAAGATAAAAGGCATGAAAATCAATAAAGTTCTATTTGGAGCATGTGGCTCACCTCGACATCTCTCCATATAGCAGCAGCGATAACACTCAGGGCCCTGTCTAGATCCATCTCTGTCCCCATACACACACTACCTCGCCTCCTCTCATTTGGTTTTGGAGAAGGCAGGCAGGACTTATGGATGAGCCACAAGTCTGATCCATCTAGTCCTGAACAAGGCTTTGGTCAAATGCTCATAACTCAGCTGGATCCTGCAGCCGGTGTAACTCAGTCTGACAGAGGAGCGGAGCAGAGGGGTAATTTACAGGCTGGACAGACAGGCCACATACTGTATCCTCTAAAGGGGGAAGAGATGCAGCAAACATACCATGCTTGTCAAGACCGGGGAGAGATGTGAAGTGGTTTAACAGGTGCAGGTGCAGGAACATGGACTTGAACGTGCACAGCTGTAATTGAATCCGGAGTTAATAATTGAACGCTTTCCTGGTCACCGTTGGTTTGATGGGAGAAGTTCAATGAAATAGGTCTAGTAACAGCAGAAAGGATTCCAGGTTAAGTTCTTAGTTTCATCGCGAAGGCCCCTAAACAAAAGAATCTGGAGAACGCGGAATGTACTAAATCAAAGAGTGACAAAATACCATGGGCACAATTTTCACACTAACAAAACGTATACTGCTATATAAGGACATAGCAAAGTGACGTGTGAGATGGATTATTGAGGTTTTGTTTTGTTGACAGGTTTGATATTTTTTCCTTATCTACTTAAGTGCTTATTTGGGGGGATTTTTTCAGGGGAGCTATGGATATGGAAAGCTGGTAGTATAGCATTTCTTGCCTTATCGGTGTGATAAATGACTACATAGTGAAGAGAGAGGCTGCAACTCTTCAGATAACGAAGGATGAATGAAGCTACAAGAGGGAAGTAAGAAAGGGGGAGATTAGGAGGAGCTTGCAGGATCAGTGATTAGAAGAACTTTATGTACTTCCACCTACTGGGGGAGGGCACTTTCACCTCTGCTATTCCACCTGTCCATCCTCTCCCTCTCTATCCAAGTTGACAGTCAGACAAGGTGGAGTAATTTTCTCTCAACTATAACTGACAACCGCAAAATGTCAATGGAACGGGAGGGGCTGCACACCTCTAATCACTCACCAAGGGATGGGCACTTACACAGTCCATTCAAATGTCATCACAAAAGAAAGACTGATAAAGACTCAAATACACTTGTGTCCTCTGCGTCTTCCCATCCTGTTCATTTTCTCATTTGTTTAACTGCCATAATTCACAGTTTCTGAAGTTCAATCATGAAATTCTTTCATTCAGAACTTCCTTAGGACGATTCGAGTCATGGTAATTTGAATGACAGCACAGTGGATGAGTGGGTATAGGGCTCAGGCCCCACAGCAAGAAGGTCATGGGTTTGATTGATCGTCTTTGCTTAGGCCTTTGTGCCTGGAGTTGGCTTGTTTCTCCCTGTTTCTGGGTGGCTTTCCTCCGGGCACTCCGGTTTCCCTCCACCCAAAACATGCACCATGGATGATATTATCCAGCTTCATTGGTCCTGACCAAGCCACTGTAGCGACCACAACTGCTGAGGTTGCCCTAGTAGCATTAAAGCATAGGTCAAATGCAATTTCTCCTGCAGCAGTGGGTGCTATGTATCCCACTGTTAAAGTAGTCAATTATTACATAAAAAAAACCCTGTACATAAATTATAGAATCTAAATCCAATTAAATAAATTTGTTTTTGACGAGACAAAATCACGACAACAGTCGTCACTAAATTGTCAAGTTACCAACAGCAGGAAGGAAATCAAATAATTAGAACACAGAAGATAGGACTGGGTAATAGAGGAAAAATGAAATCAGGACTTATTGAACAATCTCAATTTTTGATTAGATTTAAAATGATATGTTTAGTTTGGGTGGGGAGGGGTGGCAGGCAAAGATGCACCCAATTCACAGAGCACCGTCACTGATCTTCCTGCAGGTGGTGAGCCCACAGGAGCCCACAGGAGTTGTGGCAAGAGCTCTGGTGTGTGCCGTCCTCTCTGTCTGGTGCACACTGGGGTAGTCTTGCACAGTTTTTCCGATGTGGTTTTACTGCAAATGGCAAATAAATTAATCTGAATCTGATCTAATTTTTCAGCAGGGGCTTCAAGCAAAGTGGGGTATAGTGTCTTGCCCATGGACACAACAACAGCAGACATCAGTTGGAGTCATGAAGTGGGTCTTTTGGTGGGCTCGAACCCACGACCTTCAGGCCCAAAGCCAATGCTCTACCAATTGAGCCACTGTCCTCCTGTATGTAAGCTAAACGTTTAAGCAAAACATAATAACATAGGCTGTTTCTTCTGCTCATTTTTTTTCTCCAGAAATATTGCAGGATTCTTTTCTCTTGATTTGAATGCACATATTGACATTTGAGATTGAGAAAAGTTGAGACACCAATTTGTTGATCTGTCATTTTTGGCACAGCCGTGTGAAACTGCCCTTTATAGAAATGAAAGCACTGAAATTTTATTCATGAGATGAGGAAGGGAAACTTAGTGGTATATTTTGTTGTCTACAAATTTTCCTTTTCTTTATTCAGCAACAATAATAATAATAATCTGAAGCTTTCGGAAATAATGTATAGTCAAATCTTCCTCAAAATGTACAAACTCTCTAAATGCCAGCCGCTCTAAACATTGTCAAAGCACACAACAAACAATCCTCCTTAGTCATCATCAAATAGTCTCTTTTTAATCAAGGTAATTGCAACAGAAGCCTCTAAAAACAATGCATTTTGCCTTTTTACTGAACAAACTCACACCTGGTACAGCCATGACGAAACAAGAGAGCTAGGTTGTGCTCGGTATTTGCTTAAATATTGTGAAAAAACCTCTATTTTGCATGAAGATAATACAATTTACAAAACCACACACCTAATTGAGATGGCTTTTCTCACTTTCAAGTATGCTAAAATTAACAGTTTATGAAGATGAAAAAATCCAACCAAAATGGGTTCACACATCAGGCAAAGCAGATGAAATCTCACAAAATATAATAGATTACGGCAATACAAACAGCATTCAAGGTGGAAGAATTTTTTTCTGTGTTGTACTTTCTTGTATTGATCTATTAATTACAAGAGAAGACCTGCTTTTCCACTCAGTATGGAACTGTCTGCACCTCAAGAGCTGAGGAAAGAAAGCTGGATTAAGAATACATGATGAGCACTGGGCCGGAGAGCGGAGGCATGTCGACTCAAACAGAGGGAGACAGCAAGCACAGAAGGCAGAGAAGTGGATTTTCGGCTAATGTAGCCGGCTCTAACTTCCTCTAAGGACAGCGTTAGCATGACTAATGACTTTGCACTGTCCTAAGGTGAAAATTACAAAGATTGCTGATGATTAAATAATCACTTTCAATCAAAAAGTTATTATAGGTAGTGCCATACCTGAAGGGATGAGTCCGTAAGCCCAGTTGGGGACCAGGAAGCCGAACGGTTTCGTGGCCTTGTCTTTACTGCTGTCAGTTGATTCCAGCGTTTTTTTCTCCTCTGATTTTTTAAAAGGTGTCCACTTACTCCCCATCACAAACGACTCGGACACGGAAGATCTGGACTCCATTTCGGTGACACTAAGGCGCACCTCCGACGCCTGTGTGGTGAGCTGAATAATATCTGTGCTTGGCTGATGATCTAAGGCGTAGGAGCTGTCCTTTGGAAGCACCCAAGATATTGAGATAGACTCATCAGTGGGGTCTCTTTCTGCCGGGTTTGGCACAGTGGTGGGGTCTGTCACATCAATGCCTCTGGTTGTCATCACGTCTGCGGTCGTCAACACCTGTGTGTGGACTTCACTTGACTTACTTCCTTGAGTAATTACAGGTTTCTGTTTTTTTGTAGCAACATCTAAGTTCAGTGCTCTTTCTTGTTTGTGTTGTTCTGTTGGCCTACGCATAAAAAGGATCTCCCCCTTTGCCTCCTCAGAAGGGGGCCCCTGGGGTGTGGTGGTGGGCTTCTCCACAAGCTGCCATCGCGACAATGTGGTGTATTCTGCCACAGTAACGACATCATTCATGTCTTCACTCAGGTCAGTCTCCAAACTCTCTTTTCCTTTTGACTCAACCATCTCGGCAAGTGCGCTCCCCTCTGTGTCACTCTCCTCCTCTGAAGGTGGACGGTTTGCCCCTTCTTCCTCTTCTTCTTTACCTTCGCCCGAGTAGTTTTCTGGGTTGTCATGCCGCCGCAATATGGGCATGGTCATTATTTCCAACGGAGTGGCTTTGGCTTCCATAGGTTCCCAGTGGGGTTGACGTTTCCCCACATAACCCATATTTCCGGGGGGACCTAGTTTAGAGGCGCGCATTGACTTGATGGCCCAGCGGAACTGACTGCTGGGGCCCGAGCTGAAGGCGTGCGCTCCTCTGGGACCCTGTGGGCTGGACACTTTGACAGAGTGCGGAGGTGGTTCGGTGGGGGCAGATGTGGAGGAGTCTGTAGGGAACAAAGAGACAGAGCGCAGTTATTAATAAGGGTTCATTACAGAAGCGCAGCAAGCGCAGTGGCTATAATTTGATGCAAGTAGAATTAGATGTGGAACCTACGGCTGGCTTGAACCGGACAACTGAAACTTTTAATACACAAAGTGTATATATAAAGCATAATTATCACATCAAAACATTAATGTTTTTGCTACATTAGATACAACATTTGCAATAATAATAATAAACCCCCTCAATTTCTACTCAACTATAGTACCCCACCCTAGTGTGTCCTGCGTCATTTTGAGGGTCTCCTCCGTGTGGGACATATCAGGAACACCTCTTCAGGCTTCAGGTAGGTGTCCAGGAGGCATCTGAGCCACCTCCACTAACTGGAGGAACAGAGGCTATACTCCGAGCTCCTCCTGTGTGAACAATCAGTTTTTTTGGTGGAAGCTAACTTAAGCTATCTAACCAGCGTTATAACTAAAGCTGCTATAGTTTGTTTCAAAACCACAACACTGCATGTGGTTTTAATACATATCTAAAGTCAAGTCAAATGTATATAATACATTTAATAAAAACCTCAGTTGGCAAACATAAGAAAATTACAATAAGACCTCACAAATTCTATACTGTACTGAATAAACATATTCTCTAGTTACAGTGTATTCAATCTAATCTTACATCTGCGCACATACAGTAATGCGGAAAGACTGTAGACCACTTGCAAAACAACTTTTACTCAATCGAGACCTGTTTATACACAGAGGGCTGCTGCTTTGGAACAGACGACACCATCAATAAATCAGATTTTCTCCATGTGTGAGTCATGGCAATGTGTGTTTTAGCGCAGTTGTCATGCCAATGGCTCCTTCCAGTTTACATGGCAATAATTGAAAACTGTAGACGGAAAAATTGCATCAAAACGGGAAACACATAACCCATTCAATATATGATAATGAATCGGAATATCTGTTGCTGTAAGCAAGTATGGCTTGTGATCCAAAGGTTAATTTACATAAAATTATAGAAGTGTATAGTAATCAGAGTGGATAATTAAATACTGGTACAACTTCAAATCAAAGAAAGACTAATTAGAAACATTAATCTGAGCAGATTGCATAAACATAATGACCCATGTTTGAAAATAAACTTAGACAATTAGACAGGCGTTCTGCAGAGACCTGTCATTTATGGGGAATCTACTTGAGGTGCAAATGAAAAGTGTGAAGTTTTAATTTTAGTTAAACGAAGAAGAAAAATAAAAACAGCCTTGAAAGAGTTAATAAGGTCTTATTTTCTGAGTTTTTGAGACAGCCCAGGCCTCAGTAAGCAACACAGGTAAATACATATCCTGATTATTGGCAACTTTATTGACAAAAACAAAAAATAGGCTTTTGGATCATTGTGGCCTTTCAACAATGTACTGGAAGTCTGTGATAGGGCAATGACATTGTCAACAAACTGGGGAAATAATTTGAATTTGGTTCTGAAAAATCTCCCAGATAAGAATATCAAAACCTGTAACCCTTTAAAATACATGTACAAATTAAAAAAACAACAACAACAAAAATAGCAACAGATATAAAACATTAGCTTCAAACCATATTTCTGAGTTGCATGTTCTCCCTGTGACTGTGTAGCTTTCATGCAGGGGTCCGGTTTCCCCTACCACTAAAAACACAATAGGTAAAACCCCCCAGCCCTGGTCCTGAGCATCAACATCTGGAGACCTGACCCCTTCAAATAAAACAATTGGGCACCCCTTCTTTAAAAGCATGGAGACAGAGACACTCCTTGGGTCAGATTTAACAAATGAATAATGCCAGGCAAGAAAAAGAGCAATATATTTCATTTTTTCTTTCATATATAGTTCAAAGGGTTGAAAATGGCACAGTGAATTTACTTAGAAAAGTGAGATGTTAGCTGTAGCCAGGAGCCAACCATTAAGCAGGTAATTCATTCCACTGATGATACAGTGAGGCAAAATAACATCACTTGGAGCACATTTCCATCATGCCAACATAAAAGAACAGCAGCATTGTACCTGTTCTTCTATGGCTCTGCTCCTCAAGATCATTACAGAGCACCTTCACAGAGCTGCCTCCTAATTGGCTCAGCCGCAGACGGAGGTGAGCGCGAGCCCAACCTTCGCCGTAATTGGACAGAGCTGTGAATAATGCATGGGACTAAAGCTGGAGTTTTTATTAATGCTATTTGAGAAAGGCAGGGGGAGGGAGCTCAGTGGTGGTTGTAATGGGAGAGTGGCGATGGCAAGCTGAGTAAAGATTTGGTAGAATCAGCTGTTTAAGTCTATTTAATTTGCTTTCTCCATCTCAGAACCTTCGGGCAACTGTAATTTAACTGTGAATTGATTTAAGAAATTGCTGATAAGTTGACCTAACGCTATAGTTGTATAATATGCTACCTATTTAAGTAATAAGTTACCTCAGGCACAAGGGTAAGACACTGTTAATGATAAAGACAAACAAAAAGACGATGTCACTCTGCATGGGATGAATGGACAGACTGGAAATGTAAGTTATGACGTCATTTCTTTTCCCAAAATCAACAATGAGAATTATTGGAACAATTGTGGAGCTAAACCCAAAGTTGACAAAGCTAAGAATGACAATAGGAGTGAAATAAGGCCACAACTAAATGTTCTGAAGACTTCAAACCGCTTTTTACCCCTTTCTGAAACAACAAAGCCGCTAACAACTGCAGCGCCTCCACCAAGGACAAACTGCGTCCTTATCGGAGATGGTTCGGTGAAAAATGTAAACATGGAGTCCATGCTCACTGTCTCAGTTCACTCTGCAAAAGTTGCTGAGATAAGAACTCTTCTGCCTAAAGTGTTATCTGAGAACAGTGGTGTGCGTACATTATTGATCCACACGGGGGCGGTAGATATCTATGAGAAGGCAAGCGAGAAGTTACGAATGGATTTAACGCTGTTACTGGATGACCTCAAGAAAATGGACATAACAATTTTCCTTAGTGGCCCACTTCCAAATATAGATGGAAAAATGGAGAAGTTTAGCCGTCTGTATCAGCTAAATACATTCCTACTCAATGAGTGTTCACGCAGAGGACTTGGCTTCATTGAAAACTTTAACCTGTTCTGGAATAGGCACGAGCTTTTTGAAGAAAAAGGCCCACATCTGAACAACTACGGAGTAAAAGTGTTGATGGATAACTTTGCATCTGCCCTAAGACCTCAGCCTGCGCAGCGCGTGCAGCCGTCGAAAGGGAGAAAGAAGAAGCAAAGGGCACAGACATCACGACCATCTCCACCGACTCCCGAGGTCTCTGCACCCCCACCGCCTCAAAAGAACTCCACACCTCCACGATTCAAGAAGAACTCAACACCTCCAAGGTTCCAAAAGAACTCAACACCTCCACGGCTCCGAAAGAGCTCAACGCCTCCACCACCAGCATCATCAGCAGCTGCCACATCTTCATCAGCGCCATCAGCATATACAGCACCACCAGCAGCAGTGGATACAGCCGCAGCAGTGGCTGCTCCATCATCTTCAGCAGCAGCAGTGGCTGCTCCATCATCTTCAGCAGCAGCAGTGGATACAGCAGCAGCAGTGGCTGCTCCATCATCTTCAGCAGCACCTTCCCCACCTACAGCTCCCGTGAAGCTTCCCCCACTGCTCCAGGCTACAGTCAGGCCTGTACTGGGGGTTCCTCAACCACCTCTGTCTCCACCAAAGACTCCCTCATCACCTTCCATGGACCCGGCTTGGGTCCCCCCCGCTACATCCACTCCATCTAGGGAAAATGAGGACGACCTTTCCCTTTGTTTTCTATCCCCGCCTTCACTACTGGAATTACTGGAACACTCGGCAGGCATGATAAGATCGGCGATGAAGACTATTCCTCTCACACCCACTGTAGCCAGATCAAGAGTCCTATCTAACATTCAAAACTACTCCCCATACGTACCTCCAAAGCCACCTAGGGCGTCCAACTCAAATTCTCCCACAAAATCCACCCGTCCCTCCTCTAACCCCATAAGTATTCCACCCCCCCCCCCCTCCTGCTCATTTAGCCCATCTCCCCCCCTAACCCAGCACCAAGAAACCCTCCACCTCCACTCCCCCCTCGTCCACCACCCAACTCAGCCTGCCCCTCCCCTTACCCATCACCAAAAACCCATCCACCTTCAACCCCCCCCCGTCCAACTCCCAAGAACCACTTGCCTCTCCATCCTCTTCCCCCACCTTCCCCTTCCCCTCTTTTCTCTAAACACTAGGATGCACAGGGTCTCTGCTTCGCAGCCACTGGCAGTCTAGTTAGAGGAGAGACCCGGCTGGGGCCGTGTCATGAAGCCACCTGTGCCATTCCTTTAGTGATAACACAAAGAATACATTACAGAAAAACATCTGAAGTTAATCAGTCTAATCAGGAAAATCTAATTCTTGTTCCGTGTAAGAATCAGCCGACCACAACCGCTGATACTGAAACTTTGAAACTTGCTATGCTAAATGTCAGATCTCTTTGTAACAAGTCTTTTTTAATCAATAATTTTATTTGTTCTTATAATCTAGATCTTATGTTCATGGCTGAAACATGGCTTGACCAAAATACAGAAAATGCAGTTTTAATAGAAACATCACCACCAAATTTCAAATTTGAATCTGAAATACGGGGAAACAAAAAAGGAGGAGGCTTAGCTGCCATTTTCAGAGACCACTTTGTCTCCCATAGAATGTTTCTTGGGAAGTTTCCGTCTTTTGAATATGTGTCTTTTAAAATACAACAAAAACAATCTAGTCCAATACTCTTCATTGTCCTATACAAGCCACCGCAGTCATGTCACAGATTTATTGATAATTTTACCGAGTTGCTTTCAGTTTTATGCACAGATTTTGATAGCTTAGTTATTACAGGGGATTTTAATATTCATGTGGATAATGTTATTGACAGAAAGGCAAAAGAGCTGAGTTCTGTTCTTGAATCTTTTGGTCTCACTCAGCATGTGAGTGGCCCCACCCACAGCAGAGGGCACACTCTAGACCTGTTAGTTACTAAGGGGGTGAATATTTCAAATGTAAACGTGGTCGATGTTGCGCTTTCGGATCATTTTTGTGTATTTTTTGACATGTGTTTCACTAACAAACCACCAGTGGACTCTGCAACTGTACGAAGAAGACACATAAATGAAAATACGGGTGAACTATTTATGGGAATGATAAACTTTGAGAATGCATCGTATTCTACTGTAGATGAACTGTTTAACTCTGTCACCTCTAGTGTTTTGAATGTTCTGGACACCATCGCTCCTGAGGTTAAAATAGTGAAAAATAAGCAGAAGGCGCCGTGGGCTAAAGCAGACTCGGTCAGGGCACAAAAGAGAAAGTGCCGGAGGGCCGAGCGGAGGTGGCGCAAGTCCAACCTCCAGGTTGATTACGAGATCTTCAAAGATAAGTTGTGCGAGTTTAACCAGGTGCTACGTAGTACGAGAGAAAGGTATTTTTCTGAAATGATTGAAGGCTGCAGCAACAATCTGCGTGTTCTGTTTTCAACAGTTAATAGATTAACAAACCCCCCTGTTCAGATGCCATTAGAGCTAACTTCCAAACGTAAATGTAATGAGTTTGCACATTTTTTCAATGACAAGGTTCAAGGCATCAAAAACGCCATTGTCTCCAATCCACAGATAACCATCCAACAGCCTAAAAGGCTCTTTGAGCTAACTTACTTTGCACCTGTAAATGATCAAACTGTCCAAGAGATAACATGTAGCCTGGATGTACTACCCACTAGATTTCTGAAGTCTGTTCTGAGCAGTCTGTTACCTTCACTCACACAGATAGTAAACATGTCCCTTCATTCTGGAATATTCCCAAAGGCCCTGAAAACTGCAGTCATCAGGCCCCTGCTAAAAAAGAGCAGTCTGGATGCTACGGTACTTAACAACTACCGTCCCATCTCAAATCTGCCATTTATGGGGAAAGTCCTTGAAAAAGTTGTCTACCAACAGCTAAATAGATTTCTTATAATCAACAACTCATTTGATATGTTTCAGTCCGGCTTTAGACCCCACCACAGCACTGAGACTGCTCTCGTCAAGGTTACAAACGATATCCGGCTAAACACTGACGCAGGCAAAGTCTCAATCCTAATCTTGTTAGATCTGAGTGCTGCCTTTGACACTGTCGACCATAAGATCCTCTTACAGAGACTAGAGGATTGGGTTGGCGTCGCTGGCACCGCCCTAAGTTGGTTTAGGTCTTACCTTGAAGACAGGAAGTACTTTGTGGAGATTGGAAACTGTGTCTCAGATCATATGGCCCTGACCTGTGGAGTCCCACAGGGGTCGATCCTGGGACCTCTTCTGTTCAATCTCTACATGCTGCCGTTAGGTCAGTTAATACGCAGAAACGAAGTTTCCTATCATAACTATGCAGACGACACTCAGATCTATGTCTCACTGACTGCAGGAGAACATGGACCAGTGGACTCACTCCTTCACTGTATCCAACAGATCAGTGAGTGGATGCAAAACAACTTCCTTCAGCTAAACGCAGACAAAACTGAAATGATTGTCTTTGGTCCCCAGAAACAAAGAGAGAGCGTCATCTGTCATCTACAGTCTCTCTCCCTAAAACCTTCAAACAAGGTCAGAAATCTAGGGGTAATACTGGACTCAGACTTAAATTTTAATAGCCACATCAAATCAGTAACATCAGCAGCTTTTTACCATCTAAAAAACATTTCCAGGATCAAAAACATAGTGTCTAAAGCAGACTTGGAGATTCTTATCCATGCATTTGTCTCCAGTAGGTTCAATCAAATCAATCAAATTTTATTTATAAAGCGCTTTTCATACAAAAAGTGTAACACAAAGTGCTTTACAGTTTAGTTAAAAACAATCCAACATGCCCAGCCCTAAACCCTCCTCCCCACAGACCCCCCAAAACCACATTTATAATTATATATACAATACACACACCCACACACACGCACACACACACACACACACACACACACACACACACACACATATACACAAGTATAAAGTCATATCAGGTAAAATAGGTAAAACAATAAAAAGAAATGGGGCTGGGAGCAGATGTAACCGGCTGAAGAAGCGTCATCCAAGGAGCCATCTGCACCAGGAGCAGAGAGCAGAGGTTAGACTACTGCAATGGCCTGCTCACAGGTCTGTCCAAACAGGCTGTAAAACAGCTGCAGTACATTCAAAATGCAGCAGCTCGAGTCCTGACTAGAACCAGGAAGTACAACCATATTAGTCCGGTCCTCAGGTCTCTGCACTGGCTTCCTGTGGCTCAGAGAATAGACTTTAAAACAGCTCTGCTTGTGTACAAGTCTCTCCATGGCCTCGCACCAAAATATATTAGTGACATGTTAGTCCCATATGAACCAGCCCGGACTCTGAGGAGCACAGGGACTGGACTCCTGTTAGTGCCCAGAGTCAGAACTAAACATGGGGAGGCTGCTTTTCAGATTCATGCTGCTAAAATCTGGAACATTCTTCCTGAAGATGTGAGACAGGCCTCCTCTCTGACTATGTTTAAAACCAAGTTAAAAACTGTGCTGTTTAGCTGTGCATACAACTGAGGGATTTTATATTTTTATCTTTCTTTTTAATGTTCTGTGATTATTTATGATTTTAATGCTATCTTGTTCAGCACTTTGAGTTGCCTTGTGTATGAATTGTGCTATACAAATAAACTTGCCTTGCCTTGCCTTGCCTTGTTAAAACTTAAGCGCATCTGTAAAATAACTTAACTTTTAATTTGTTAATAAACATTCTGGATTTTGCTGTGCAGTCTGTCATTGTGAAAGCTTTAGTTAGTTCATCTTTATTTAAAGGACAGTGTAGAGAAATTAAGCTGAGAGAGACAGATATGTTCTGAGGCAGATTATAGCTAGATATTTTCCATCTGCTCACCATCAATATATTCTGAGCTACTGAGTTACAGAAGTCAATCCTGAAGAATCCTGGGATTGGAGCTGAGAACAGTGACCTGCTGGCCTCTTCGTGTCCTATTAAAGTGCAGTATTCCTCTATCTGTTTTTTTACCACCCAACTTCATAAACATACTTAGAAAAATCTATGGTACGCCGTGCAAACAGTAGTTATTAATTAAATGAACTGTAATTTCCCCACTGAGGGACTAATAAAAATATAATCATTTATAGTTCCTCATCATTATTAACATTAATTGAGGTCCAACGGTGATTCTGAAACTGAAGAAAGAGCAACGATAAAATCTGTTTTTGTTGTGATAACGTGTGCAGTCCTTACATGGTTTGGAATATAACTGAAGGGCATCCTGATTATTTTTGGTTATTTTAACCATTTTATTTAGACAGATAAAGGATAGTTTTATTTCAGACTTGTAGCCCGGAGTGCAAACAAACAGACCGATACACAATAAAAACAAACAACTTCATCATTAGTCCCAGCAAAGATGTTAAACTCAGTGAGGGTAAAAGGCGGCCCACATCTCTATTTCAAATCATCTTCAATCTCTAATTGTCTAAAGCAGGATATACCAAGATGTTTCCCGCAAACAGCACCATCAAAAGCCCTCTGTACATTTTATTTTACACATTATTAAGTATATAAAGACCAATGAATTAGGACTAATGAACATTGCCAACCTGATTCCAACCATGTGTCATGCATCGTTGCAATATCCCTGTCTTATACCTGAATGTGCAATATACAGCTGCTAATTAACAGATGCTAACATACTGCTGCTAATGTACAGATGCTAACATATAACCACACTTTACTTGCACTAGAATACACAGTACTTTATACTTTTTATATAATGTTAAATTTTTACATCTATTATTATTTTCAAGATAGAGTTTTTAGACTTACGTATTATAGATGCAAGAGTTAGAGATTTTGTTTTATTTTAATTAGGACAGCTACTGTTCGGGTAACATGTGCTGTGTGCTCCTCTTTCCTACTGTTCTATTACTTGTGATGCAACACAGACATTTCCCCACTGTGGGACAAATAAAGGGTCACTTAATCTCTTAATCTTAATTAGTATAACAATTAATGTGACAACCAAAAACACACTTTACTTGCACTGTGACTCTGGTTTGTGAAAGGCGGTATATAAATAAAGATTACTTGCTTACTTACTTAATTTAAATTTTGTCATCGTTTATGTCATTCAGATCTTTATGATCTCTTATTGCACAGCTCTGGGAAATGTTCTGCTTTAGTTATTTTTGACCACTTTTTGCTCCCTTTATAGGCTGCATTTTCTGAAATGAAAATCACGCTTAATCTCATTGGCAAAAGCAAAAATTCTGCAAGTGAAATTGATCATTGTTGAAGCGAGTCTACATTATTCACACTATGCCAAAAAAACCCATCATAATTAAGTGTGGACAGGGCTCTTTGTGAATAAATTAGAAAATAGAGAGCGAAAAGGGCCACTCTGATAATTTACAAGTATGCACCGGGCTGTAGCTCTTGTGTTTGTTTGCTATTATAGTTTAATTAAATGTACGGCTCTACTTCAAATTGCCCTGCGGAGGAATACATTATGGCATCCTTGAGCGTAAGAGATAAAAGCACAACATTCCGATTTGAAAGCATGACATAAAAGCGTACCGCATTTACCTGTGGCATGCGATTTGAACAGACCACATTGCATATAAAAAAAAAAACATTAATATATAATCAATTAGTAGTGTGAGTGGTCAAACCTTTAGCTGTGGTTTCTTCATGGAGGGCGCTAGTGTCCCTCTGCTCTTCTTCGTTTACAGCCGGATGCAGTTTTATCAATGGCATCACAACCTCCTCCTGCTCAGACAACGCCAGTCCGTTTGTAGAAGGAAGGAAAGAGAACCTTCTATTCTCAGATATTGCGTTGTCCAAGCTTTCCTTGTCCGATTTGGGCTCGCTCAGATTACTGCTAGAAATATCAGCCAATACATGGTTTTCTGTCACTTCTTCCAAGGGCATAGACGTTCCAAATTCTGTACCCTCAGCCTGTTTATCTCCGGTCAGGTACCTAAACGGCTTCATCAAAGTGTGAACAAAGTCGGCGAGCACGCTGTTGCTGCTCTGAGGTGGTTGAGCTGAAGATGCATTTGTGAAACTGGCTACACTCCCGTCCTCTTTGCTCAGCTCCTCTTCACCATGGTTTTCGATGCGCCCCAGCTCCGACAGGCCTAAAGCATTGCCGCTATTATGTTCAGGCATCAGATGGATTATGACATGCTCCTCAGAGATCGCAGAGGAATTATTGACGTCAGCTACAGAGTTTTCCGGGTTAACGAGACCAGTCCAGGATGAGGTTTCAGCATAAGGGGGACTGTGGTGGGTTTGACTGGCAGACACTGTGGCTTCTTCCTCCTCTGGGTTGGAAGCCTGGTACACGGCCTCCACGGCATGGACTCCGTTTAGCTTTTCGTCTGAAACACAATACCGGTATTTTACCTCAAGCAACTATTTCACTTCATCATCGTAGTCACTACAGCAGATAGACAAATCCCAGACTTGTGTAAAACAGTTTTTTCTGCAAGCCATAAAAGAAAGTTTCTTTTGTATGGACCAGTTTAATCTTATGTCCTTTTTATCTGTTCTAGTCCTGGCTTTGTCTGAATCTAGTATAAGTTTAGAAGTATTTCGTATTGAATATTAATCTTAATTTTGATGTCCCAAAGTGCTCGATAGTACTGAGTCCTTCTTCTAAAAGGTGCCATAATGAACACAACGTCATTTCCTCTTTTTCAGCAATCAGGGTCAGATAAATCAGAATCTTTAATGGAAATGTTACTGTTTCCTGTAAGGCATTGACAGCTTCAAAAATGAATGTGCAAACAGCATCGCTGAATGCAATGAGAGCTTTATTTATCATGTGTTTGTTTTTACAAACGCACTGCCCCTCCCCTCCTGCTGTGTCTGTTTGCCTAAAGTGATTAGGTTATGCAGATGCTTTGCTTCAGTGAAGACATTACAACTCAACAGCATGAAAAATGAAACTTCTGTCTGTGCACATAAACAAAGTGATGAAGACAATAAAGATCATATTTTCAAGCGTAGCTAACTACGCTGCACAAAAGAAGGTGGAGTAAGCACATTTTATTTCCTTGATAGAGAGATTTGACCTCTGCATGCAGCCTGTCAGGAGCAGTGGTTGCTACGGTTGCAGTTGCGGACAATGAAGCGCCTGGGGACCCATTTGATTTATTGATTTAATACTGCTATTTTTTTTCCATGGTAAAGAAATGTAATCATCAAAAAACTTCAAAGGAAAGAATGTGTAAAATACCTCCAAAACAGTAGGCGTCAAACAGTGCCGTGGTATCAGGAAACCCAGTGCGGTTGGGGTTGCTGTAGACGGTGCGCACACCAGGCTCGTCTCCGCCGCAGTTCCTTCGGGGGACGTTGATGGGGTAACGCACGCTGCCATCTGCCAGCCATCCCGGGTCGCATTGGTCCAGACCGGCCTGCCACGCCAGGTACAGCTGCCCCACAGTGGCCAGCTGAGCCCCCAGAGAGTGACAGTGAGTGGAGGCTGTGGCCAGGTTCAGCTTCTCTGCCACCGAGGTGTGGAAGACGTCACCTGCAGAATGATCATACACATTTTTTACGGCTCTGTTTAGCTTTGGCTACAACTGAATGATTTTATATGCATTTTTTTTATAAACTGTGACTAATTAATGATTAATTTTTGTTTTTGTTTTTGTATGATTTTTCTTGTTTTGTAAAGCACGTTGTGTTGCCTGATGCATGAATTGTGCAGCACAAATACATGGAAAGGTGTGCTATGCAAGATTTTAAGTTCAGATATTATTGCTTTGCCAGAAAAATTAATACTACAATAACTAGTCTGCATATAAGGACATTAACACTATTCTCGCCTTTTGCACCACAGCAAATTGGGAATTAATTCATAAATCCTTCCCCTGATTTGGAAAATACCAAATTAAAGGTGAAAGTCCCATCTACCTTGGTACAACCTCATGCCTCCTCTCAGTTTTGTTTCACTCTATCTACTAGGATGGTGTGAAAAAAAACTGAACCAGGAAGTACAATCGCCCAATCAGTGTCTGTAGTATTTCAACAAAGTGGTCGAGATGGATGTAGACCAAGCCATACACTGTGTTGTGATCCCCAAAACTTAGGCTTTAAGTCAAAACAAAAAGCATGTTAATCCCGCTTCCTACATCATATGTCATGACCCAACAGCAGAGAGCCCACTGTGGACAAACAAATCCAAATGCTATGGTTTCCGGGGGTTGAAACAAAGTGAAATTAAACTGGCTGATGTAGTAGGCTAGGTGTCAAAAATACAATATATCCAAATTTTGTTGATGTCCCAATATCCTTGGATCTCACATTCATTAAATGACTCAATTTTATGCATTTTATAAGAAAACGATGCTGGATTGAAGAATGTAGCGAGATGTGTTTTGTATTGTATCTGTTTTATTGGCTCCGCTGATTATAGAAGATATTGCAATTGTCTTTGGGGTTATGGTTGACTGGTCTTTCTTAAATCACCTTTGTTGAAGACACACAGACACTGAAAAATACTGTGACGGAAGAAAAGTTGCTCGAATATCAAATTAATGGAATAAACTTGGTAACACTTTATAATAATCTTTGAAACACTCTGAGAAAAGCGTATTCTTAAAGATAACAGCTGAACAACACGATGAATATTAATGTAGATGAGAAAGTATAGAGTTGCAGATAAGGAATTGTTATGGAACATTATACTTTAGAGATCCAGCAATATGCAGACTGTTAAAAGATCTGCGTAAGTTGGTCCAAATATAACAAACTGCACCATAAACAGACTTTCAACTGCTGGTTCATTTCCGTCAAAACAACAACTATCAATCACAAAGTAATCTTCTATTGTGGATAGTAATTATCTCTTGATTACTTTAATCAGTGGGATAATTGCACAGTGTGTAACAAACGCTTGTGTGCATGAGACCTGCATATGATCTGAATTGGTCTCAATAAAATGTGTCAATACATTTCCTCACTGCGGGACAAATAAGGGTTTTATAATCACAAATATTTAGAGCAAGAGGTTCAACAGTAATTTTTTATTCATTGTGAAGGTCCACAACACACCGCACACAAGAAAACCCACAGTGACCGCACAAACCAAGAATCATTCTCAGTTGTGTTGCTTTGTGAGTAAGTCCTTCTTAAAAGCAGCGAGACCATTCATGTCTGCTTTAAAGTGTGCTACGGGGATTTAATTGAACATATGGCTAATCAGTGACACTTTGCTTCTGAAAGACTGTACACGGCACCATATGGTCAAAGAATGTGTTCTTTGTACTAGTGGGAAGAAGAAAAAAACAAGTACATTCCTTTATGAAGGATTTACCATAGCTCCATCATCTAAAATCTTAGCTGTTGTGATAAATTATGGTAATGGTGAAGTGTAAAATGCAGCTAAATGCGTTGTAATACATGTTTAATCGAGTTGGTACAACGGGAAACAGAGGGGTTTTAGAGGTATTGAGACCTATGGCTGTCAAAATAAATTGGTTTGGATTTTGAAAAATGACACCATGTCTATTTTCAATTCAATCTGGGACATGATTGATTGAGGGTGACAAAACGGACCCACCCGCTGAACATTGTGTGGTTGAAATTGCTGTGACTAAAACAAAACTAAAAACACAAGTCTTAATAGAAACTTGTATTAAACTTTTTATACTTATTTAAATATATATATTCTTCTTTATTGTTATAGCTACAACTACATAACTTGAACTATGTTTTCTTGTTCTGCTGCTACTTATACTGCCGTAGAATCACTGTGAATACTGGTCTGAACCAATACTACTTTTAAATAGTGGACATTTAATTTAATGATTTTAAAGCTACGTTAAAGAAACATTTACAGGTATTTATCTTGTTTTGTATTCCAACATTCCTGTGTGGGATGCAACACCGAAAAATCCCCATTCTGGGACGTTTACACAGACGCACATAAATATATATACATATACACCATGCACATAGGCCAGTAAGGAAAACAAAAGACAAAGAATGATGCCCATTGTTGTCAGAAGTTAAAAGGAGCACTCTATGGACATGGTTGCCAGTTCTTGTTGAGCTGTGAAAGCTTGGGGCTCATACCTGGCAGCTGTTTAGCGAAGCAGTAGACATCAAACAGCTCGTCGGGGGACCTATTGCCGTAGTTTCGCACTCCGGGTGAGTCTTCTCTATCGCCATAGCAACCGGGCCGAGGAGATTGTATGGGGTATCTGCGTGAGACCCAAAGAAAAATCAAGACATGAACTAAAATCTGCCGGGGGAGAGATGGTGAAAGAAGAGAGAGCTAATCAATGTAGTTTTTTTACAATAATGGCAATAGCGCTGGGGCAACTAACTTAAAATACATGCAATAGTCCGAGCAGAAAGAGTGAACAAATCAGACAAAATTTTGAGAAAACATGTTTGTCTTCTGCATACTCAAAAGAGAGAGCCTTGTGAATCACTATTTGGGGTGAAGCTGATTAGCTGAGGGAAGGTGGACCACTCTCTTACACTTTTGAGTTTGAAAAAGCAGACGTGTGAAAGATGTGAAAGAGGCCAAGAAATAAATGCAAATGGGAACTAGAGATATAACCAAACTCCTTTGAGAGCAGGGAATTATAGTTAAATGGATATTATTCTGTTACATCTTTTGTTGTTTGAAAGTTAGGCACCTCAGCTTTTCTAGTGCTATGAAGGAAAATTACACCATAGAGAAAAATATTCCAACCTGAAACTCGGGAAATTAGAATATTATAGATACATTTCTGTCATAACACAATGTTAACAACATGGTCAATGACATGTAATGACTAGTAATCAATAGATCTGTCTTTAGTTTGGTTTAAGCAGGCAAAAGAAGTATATAACATTAATAACTACAAATCCAAGGTATTTATCTTGTTCAAAAGATGTTTTAAAACGTGAAACCATTAAATTATATAGACTCACTCCATGCAAAGTGACATAAAGAAAGCCTTTTTGTGTTATTGTTTTGACAATTATGGCTTACAGTCCATTTTCAAAATTCTCTGAGAAGTTTTATTTTAGTTTAAAAAAAGCTGGGTTACCATTGTCAACATTATAACAAAGAAAAGCTTGATATATCTCACTTTGCATGTAATAATTGTCTCATATATTAGTTTGAAATTGTAAGTTAAAATTCTGAACAATATTCTAATCTTCAAGTTTCACCTGTATACAGCAGATGCCGGAACATTAAATTATACATTTCGTTACAAAGATGATTCAAACCCATTCACACACACACACGCACACACACACGCACACACACACACAACAGACTCCTGAAACACATGTGCTGACAAAAAGTAAGTTTGAGTTGGCAATTAGAAAAGCAATCCCACAGATAGAGCATCTTGTTTCTTTTAATTACTTCACCCTCAGTTTAGACTTCACAGTGTAATTAACCATCTGTTTTTCAATTTTTTTTGTATTTTAAATCTGTCTAAAAGAGTGTAATTCCTGGTAATGTGTGCAAGGAATGTCAGATTCTGTACAGCAAAGCAGACCGGATCAGTGCCTTGTGGCTGCTGTAGGGGCTGAGAAAACCCACAATCTATATCAAGTCTCCAACTAAGCAATTATTCGACGACAACATCGATTGCCACAGCACAGGGCACCGGCAAAGAGGCTGATTAATAGATTACACTGGGCATGGAGTGGATTATGAAGTGCTACAAGCAAACGGGGCAGTGACGCTCAACTTCAGAAAGCCAAGTTTTTGTTTTGTGTGTAAAGTGAAGCGGCATTGAATGATGTCTGTATTTTCGCCACACAATTAATTGGACACTTTTCTCTGGGCTGATGTACACTCAAAGCCTTCTGCATCTACACCAATTAGGCAGCTCCCGAGCGAGAACAAGGGGAGCGTAAAGCAGGAAGGAGCTGTGCCGCGGGATGGTCGAGACAGGAATAAAAGCAAAGGCTCAGAAAAAAATAAATCTGCTGCAACTGGAGCAACAACGGCTTGAAATTAGAATGTTGATGTGGTTGAGACGCTGCAGATGTTAACAGGGACTTAATGGGAGGTGGCAAACTGCAGCCTGACTGTTAACCATGTTTTGACACTTTGAAACAAGCAATTAGATTTAATTATGTACTGCTGCCTTTTGAATAGAAAAAAATGGCTCATTATGTCAGCACTTTTTCCTTCAGATTAATTTAGTACATTACTCTCTCAAAAAGGATGTTTATTTATTTGTATTTTTTTCATGAGAAGCCCGTTAGCCTTTGCAATCCTAAATGTAATTCTGACTTCAACACATGAACTTCACCACTCCTGCAAAGTCTTCAGAGCCTGCACAAACTAACAGAGGCATGGAATATAGAATTTATTACCCTTAACTAGTGCAGAAAATGTGGACCTCAATGAAAATGTATAGTGCCTACAACTACTTATATAAAGCCGCATTAATGAAGCTTACATCAGTCAAAAATGACAAAAAGTATAATGAATAACTGTATATTATGCTGTGTTTGTAACCTGCTGAAGAACTTTGAGATATATTTGCTTCACATTTTTATCAATATTTTCATTATTGAGCTACAATTATACTTTTTGTTTAGCTTAATAAATTCAATCTATAACTTTGTTAATATCGGTCTTTATTTGAAGGGACAATGGATTCAAAGATAGATGAACTGCACCAGATTGTCATAAAATAGATTCCACCGGCAGCCCCTGGTTACATAAATAAATATACAATAACATACATTAAAATGAAAATAATTGAAAAGTACAATGCAGAAATTGTGAGAATGACAATGGATTGGTTTTATACAGCGCTTTTCTGGACACTCAAAGAAGCTTCACACGGCATTATTCATTCACACCACACAGTGGCGATAAACTTATGTAGCCACAGCTGCCCTGGGGCACACTGACAGAAGTTAGGCAACCAGTCTGTGGCCTCAGCCCCTCTAACCACCACTGGCCATCCACACACACACACCAGACTGATTCTACAGAATATACCATGATGGGCTGGCGCTCTGTGAATTGGATGGCTGCTAACCCCCCCCCCCCTGACACCATCCCTACCCAGAAATGGATTAAGGGGAAGAAAATGGGTGGATGGATGGAAATACCATATTATTGCGCAATCCCACTTGCATAAGACCACAGACAAAAACAGTATTTACACAATATGCAACAAAGTACATACAATGGGCTAGTGTGGTGCAGATTAAGCAGTACATTGCGCTTGCCCCAACAAAGTGCTTGTGCAGTCAGAAACACTAAAACCATTGCACCTTCCTGAACGAGAAGACTATTCAAGTCATCAGCTTTTACTGAGCAGAGTGATAGAAATTACTTCGATGAACTTTACTTTGGTAACTTAAGTATATCAAGAATAAAGAATATTTGTTGTAGTACTGCACACATACAGCTGCTGGTGGTATAACTCTTACCGTACAGTTTGGTCCGAGAGCCATCCCGCATCACAATTGTCGTATCCGTCCGCGAAGGTGACCTGCAGCTGACCGGGATTGGCAATGACTGCAGAGTTCTCCACACACACCCTTTTAGCATCATCAAAAGTCAGTGCATAGCGGTCATGAGGCGCCCGGTAGTGAAAGACCACACCTGCAGAGTGAAAGGTGAGATGATCTGATTATTTTCACATTCGCTTTTTGATGTTTCCCTTGAACTTTTATGTACAACAAGCTCATAAACAAGACATTATTGCAGTAGAAGGGACATTGTTCGATTTACGCAATAGGAAATGGCATTTTCCAGGTTCAAAAGCCGCAGTGATGTGTCTCATTTGCATTCGACTCGCGCTCAGCTCATCATTACAGAGAAAAAGATGTTGCCCATGGATACGTGGATGATAAACAGCACCAATGGTTATTTTATTGATTTAAAAGAGGCACCATATTGCAGTCTGCCATTTCAAAAGAGAGAGTCAGCAAGATAAAGTACATTGAGAACACAAATGTGGAGTGCAATAGACCTAAAATAGCCTCTAAAGACAAAAGCTTTGTGATTTGGTTTCCTTTGCCAGTGGTCTAAACAATACATATTTCAAGGCTGTATAGCACAATTCATACACAAGGCAACTCAAAGTGCTGAACAGAGAGCGGTCTCAGGGCTGTGGTGGGGTCTAAAGCCGGACTGAAACATATCAAATGTTGTGGATAGCAAGGAATTTAGTACGCTGTTGGAAGACAACTTTTTCAAGGACTTTCCCCATAAATGGCAGATCTGAGATGGGACGACAGTTGTTAAGTACCGTGGCATCCAGTCTGCTCTTTTTTAGAAGGGGATTTCACTTTTCTTATTAAACTGGGTACTGCAAACATCACTATTAATTTTTAATTCTTTCACGTTGATTCTTTCAGGAAATATGGTTCAAATTGGTAGCATAAATCAGGGGTTCCCAAAGTTTTTAGCCTGCAACCCCCATAATAAATGCGCTGCTCCCCTGCGACCCCCCACCTCAACAGCCCTTCCCGTCACATGAAATGAGCACTATTTCCTTGATTCAGAGTAACGCTTTATAGAGACTCGCACCACTACCGAGCTGCACTCGCCAGCCCAAAAAAAGAGGTGGAGCGCATTTCTTGCGGCTCGCCCTCACTGTTCTCAGACCGCGGTAACGTGGCCCGGCTTTTCGGAGTCAGCGGTAAAGAGGTCCGCACATTAAAAGCGGGTGGCCGCTTTATGCTGTTACAAGTGCATTGTGGCGGCTCATTCCTGCGGCTTCTCTTTCCAACGTTACCGTTAGTAGCAGCATAAAGCGGACACCTGCTTTTCATGAGCAGACCTCTTTACCGCTGACTCCGAAAAGCCGGGCCTCTTTACCGTAGTGTTCACCGCTGCCCTCTTTCACTCTCTTCGCACCATCAGCCTGACCTCTGACAGATGTGACTTTTCTCCCCCTCTGTGTTTTTCTGTTGTGGATATTAACCACGTTTCATTTTAAAGTAGGTATTATTTGATTACTTTAGCTTTAGCAAACCACAGCAGGACACGCTTTGTCGCTGCGTGATCTAAGCTGCGTAACTTTATTTTGGGACAAAATGACAACTTAAAATATATTATATTGTTTTCAGACTCTTCTCCAAACACAATTTAATAAGTGCTATATTTGTTCCATTTTTTTTTTTTTTTTTTTTTCGGAAATCCTCTTGCGGCCCCCCAAGGGATTCCCGCGACCCCCCCGGGGGGTCGGGACCCCCACTTTGGGAACCACTGGATAAATAATTGAATGGAAAAGACTCCATTGAATGTCGTTACAAATGCCATTACCAAACTAATATTTCCTGCGGCTTTAGTTCTCACACAAAAACATGATGTTGAGACTAGCTGCCACTGTAATGATAAATAGTAATTTTGTCTTATAGTATAAGTTAAAGTTTCAGCGTGTATATGCTAAATCTATACTTTATTATGGGTAAGTTGTCCTCTAAAGAATTATGTCCTTCAAAGCCACTGGGGCAATCTGTCTTGACAGCAGTGGTCGCTGCGGTGCAAATGTTGACGTTGGACCTTCGCTGGGAATTAGTCCCTATGGTGACACAAGGCGAAACATGCAAACTCCAGACAGAAAAGCCCTGGTCGGTACAGGAATTGAACTGCTAATGCGATTACAAACATGCTAGGCTTGATCCCAGTGATCGAGTGTAGAATCTATGCCTCGTAAATAAAAATGTAGGTTAGAATGCTTATTCATTTAGTCTTATTTTATCCTCATATGTGTTGCTGATGTGTAAAATGCAAGAGATACAGTGTGAATAAAGACAGGGTAGACACTTGGTAGCTAAAATGCTTGCAAGAGACAAATGGCCTCAAGCTTGTGTTTTCCACAGTATTGGGAGGCCAGGGCGAGGCTATACCACAAGAGGCTAGGGTAGAGCCAATAGCTCATTTCTCTATTTTTACTTTGCGCCTCCTCACACACTGGTCCAGTCTCCAGAGAGAAGTGCAGGATGATACCATTTATGCCTACATGATGTCCTCATTGCAGAACACTAGAACCTCTCAGACAGAAGCAGAAATGCACTGTGTCCCCCACTTTACAGGCATTGTGTGCAGAATCATATTTGAAATACCCAGGGGTACGGTACTTTGTAGCAGCTAAAATAAGGAATTCAGTCACTACTACTACAAATGTGATCCACTTGTTAACCATTGCACACTATTATAGCAGTATTCATCCCAAAGGAGCCTCATTAAAGCTATTAGAGAAGAAACCAAAGTATCACATTTTAAGCAAGAGCAGAAAATGTAGGCATCAGGAAAGAGCGATATCAGACGCCTTACTTGGACAAAAATACAATGCCTTTACTTTAACTGCGTATCTGTGTTTAATTGAAGGGGGCAAAACAGGACAACATTTCTGCATCAAGTTATCTTTAGTTTCTTCTATGGATTTGGTGGCAGTGATGTTAATATATTGAACAACTAAAGTGTTGTCCACAGACACCACAATTGATGTCCTTTCTGAACCATACAAGTTTCAACTCTAATCATTATGACAAAACAGTGCCACAGAATCCATAATGACTTTAAAATGTCTTGTCTTACATCAGATAACTGTAGAATGTGTACATTGTGATTGTGGAAACAAAAACAACCAAATGGTCAATACATGAAAGACAATCGCTCCAGTAGATTGTTTTAATGTGAATGCAACAAGAGTAATGTGATATTGATACAGCTAAGGAGTATCAATTCCTGCTAATTAATACATTATGCACTCAGTGGTATTAGTGTGGACATGCGGTCTGCTATAGCGAGCCTGCCAATTAAGACTAGGCCCAGGAGATGGCCTCTCCTCACCGCCGGCATAATTGGTTTCCCTCTAAAGGAGCGGTTTTCCTGCCACGCAAATCGATTGGGCCGAAAGACGGAGGATGCGGGGGTCTGGTTCACAAAATACAAAGGTAAAGGGTTTGTTGGAGCCTAAATAGAAGTTTAGTTGTTTTGATTATATTTTGATACATTTCTATTTTGTTTGTATTATTATTTGATTGAAATACATTATTTTTGTGATTAGATTCGAATTATGATTACTTGGCAATTGATTTAATTTGGTATATTTTGCATCTATAATAGTTAATTATTTTGTTAATCATTATTTCTAAGATGTAATCATGGATTCATTTTGATTTAATATATTTCATTTCATTTCATTTCATTTTCAACCCCTTTGTCCATTTCTGGGTCGGGGGGGTGGCAATAAGAGCTGCCACCCAACGCTCATAGCACCAGTCCCTCGCTGATCTTCTGCAGGGGGTGAGTCCACAGGAAGATGGCTGCTCCGTCAATTGTGAAACAGCCTTGACCTTTCAGCGGGGGGCTTCAGGCAATGTGGGGTTAAGTGTCTTGCCCAAGGACACAACGACAGCAGTAATCAGTGGGAGCAGTTGGAGTAGGTCCCATGGTGGGAATCGAACTCACGACCTCCAGGCCCAAAGGCCAATGCTCTACCAACTGAGCTACTGTCACCTACTGACCTCCCTACTCTCTCCTCGTCCTTTAAGTCCTTTTGCTCTTTGTCCAGTATGTGTGTTTTTTTGTGTGAACACTCAGTAAAGACTTTTTAATTGCATCTTACTGTTCCATGGATTTTATTCACCCGCACTGTACATAATAGATTATGGTTTAAGAGCGTCAACTACACGGCTTCACTATTTGGACCCTACAGGGTTCTTAGGGGTATTTAGGAAGTTTCTACTTCCATCCATCCATTTTCTTCCCCTTAATCCATTTCTGGGTTGAGGGGGTGGCAGTCAGAGCTGCAGCCAGTACACATAGCACCAGGCCCTCACTGATCCTCCTGCAGGTGGTGAGTCCACAGGGGCCTTGATCTTCCAGCGGGGGCTTTTCTTGTAGTTTCTACTTGTAACAGCAAATCAAAGTTACTTTTTAAGGACTCTTATTAACTAGGAAAACATGTTCAAATCGACATCATGAGGTCTGCTGTGTTGTTATTTTTATATATAAATAATTTGATTAAAACTTGAAGTGCCACCATTTTGTTTCATATTTCAGAAATCTTTTATGTATTAGAGTTGTATAACTAAATAATAATTTAGTTTTATAGCATAAAGTAATATAACTAATACACGATGTAATCCTTTCAGATGCATTACATTAACCCTAAGTGTTGTTAACCATTGTGTAGCATGTCACATTCAAATCTTGAGGGGAAATGTTTTTACTGGCCCTGCTATCACCAACCATGAAAATGATGCAGCTAAAATGTGCTGCATCTGTGAGAAAGAACGAGGTTGAAAATCTCTTGGGTTTTTACGGTTGCTTATGCCAGCAAGAAAAGCCTTTCTTTAATATGAGCTAAAGTGAGTGTCCAAGCTCAGTGCAATTAGGTCATTAAGAAATAAGAGCATTTTTTTTATAAATAGAACTGACCTGGAAAAAGTTGATGACCGTTTCTTGTGTTAATCATAATTTCACAACAGACACAACATTTGTGTCCTGGATTTCCTTATATAACAGTAGAATACAGTGCAACGTATCTACCTTATTGTTTCCATTGACGGTTCAGTGCACAAGCAGAGCAGTTCAGGTCAATGATTCATGTTTGTTCTAACCCTTTGCCCATCATTGCACATTTTGCTGAGCTACTAGATTCTATGTAAAAGCTGTTTAAGGCTGACAAGGAAAACAGAAATTATAATACAAAGTGGCATAGTAAGAGCCAAGGGAGCTGTACACATGCAAGGCAAGGGCATGTTTGCTTAGACCAGCCTTTTACGGATAAAAAACACAGTTGCATGGCAGTTGAACAAGGTTAATTAGGTTGTTGACTGTGGTAAGTGCAAAGAGGGTATGCTAACAGATGATAAGGCACACGAGCTGTGCTCATAATATAAGAGGCTATTTGAATTGTAATGGTTTCTTTTAATGCTTTCTAAGGTAGGTCGACATACACAAAAAATAGGAAATAGAAACATTTAAAAATAGTCCTTTTTACTATCCCACACCTACTCACTACATATACCGTATAAGAAGACTATAGGCATATATTGAACAGATGAATAGTTGAAGCTATAACTAGGAATAAAATGCAATTCATTGTAGACAATGTGCTCTGTTGAATCAATAAGGATTCAACATTGTTGCTGCTCATTAAGCCACGTTTCCTGAAATACCATCCATCCATCCATCCATTTTCTTCCGCTTTATCCGTTGCCGGGTCGCGGGGGCAGCAGTCTAAGCAGAGACGCCCAGACTTCCCTATCCACACACACTTCCTCCAGCTCGTCCGGGGGGACCCCAAGGCGTTCCCAGGCCAGCTGAGAGACATAGTCCCTCCAGCGTGTCCTAGGTCTTCCGCGGGGCCTCCTCCCGGTGGGACGTGCCCGGAACACCTCCCCAGGGAGGCGTCCAGGAGGCATCCGGAACAGATGCCCGAGCCACCTCAACTGGTTCCTCTCGACGTGGAGAAGCAGCGGCTCTACTCCGAGCTCCTCCCGTGTGACTGAGCTCCTCACCCTATCTCTAAGGGAGCGCCCAGCCACTCTGCGGAGGAAGCTCATTTCGACCGCTTGTATCCGCGATCTCGTTCTTTCGGTCATTACCCAAAGCTCATGACCATAGGTGAGGGAGGGAACGAAGATTGACCGGTAAATCGAGAGCTTTGCCTTTCGGCTTAGCTCCCTCTTTACCACAACGGTCCGATACAGCGACCGCATCACTGCGCACGCTGCACCAATCCGCCTGTCAATCTCATGCTCCATCCTTCCCTCACTCGTGAACAAGACCCCGAGATACTTGAACTCTCTCTCCACCCACCTGCAGAGGGCAAGGCACCTTTTTCCGGTCGAGCACCATGGCCTCGGATTTGGAGGTGCTGATTCTCATCCCAGCCGCTTCACACTCGGCTGCAAACCGTCCCAGTGCATGCTGCAGGTCCTGGTTCGTTGGAGCCAGCAGGACAACATCGTCCGCAAACAGCAGAGATGAAATCCTGTGGTCTCCGAACCGGACCCCTTCCGACCCCCTGGCTGCGCCTAAATATTCTGTCCATAAATACAGTGAACAGAACCGGTGACAAAGGGCAGCCCTGTCGGAGGCCAACATTCACCGGGAACAGGTCTGACTTACTGCCGGCAATGCGAACACAGCTCTGGCTCCGGTCATACAGGGATCGGATGGCCCTCAGCAGAGGACCTCCGACCCCGTACTCCCGGAGAACCCCCCAAAGGACACCCCGGGGAACACAGTTGAACGCCTTCTCCAAATCCACAAAGCACATGTGGACAGGTTGGGCGAACTCCCATGAACCCTCGAGTATCCGATGGAGAGTATAGAGCTGGTCCAGTGTTCCGCGACCGGGACGAAAACCACACTGCCCCTCCTGGATCCGAGATTCGACCATCGGCCGTAGCCTCCTCTCCAGTACCTTGAAGTAGACCTTACCGGGGAGGCTGAGGAGTGTGATCCCACGATAATTGAAACACACCCTCCGGTCCCCCTTCTTGTAGATAGGAACCACCACCCCGGCCTGCCACGCCATTGGCACTGCCCCCGATCGCCACGCGATGTTGCAGAGACGTGTCAGCCAAGACAGTCCTACAACATCCAGAGACTTTAGATAATCAGGGCGGATCTCATCCACACCCGGGGCCTTGCCACCATGGAGGCCACCAACCACCTTGGTGACCTCAGTCAGGGAGATGGATGTATCCGCCCCAACATCCTCAGCCTCTGCCTCTGAAACAGAGGACGTGACGGGGGGATTGAGGAGAACCTCAAAGTATTCCTTCCACCGCCCGACAATATCCCCAGTCGAGGTCAGCAGCTCTCCACCCGCACCGTACATGGTGTTGGCAAAGAACTGCTTCCCCCTCCTGAGGCGCCGGATGGTTTGCCAGAATCTCTTCGAGGCCGACCGATAGTCATGCTCCATGGACTCTCCGAACTCCTCCCAGTCCCGGGTTTTTGCCTCTGCAACAGCCCGGGCCGCGGCACGCTTGGCCTGCCGGTACTGGACAACTGCCTCAGGAGTCCCCCGAACCATCATGGCTTGATAGGACTCCTTCTTCAGCCTGACGGCATCCCTTACTGCCGGTGTCCACCACCGGGTTCGGGGATTGCCGCTGGGACCAGCACCAGAGACCTTGCGACCACAGCTACGAGCCGCCGCATCGGCGATTGAGGAAGAGAACATGGTCCACTCGGACTCCATGTCCCCCTCCTCCGCCGGGACCTGGGAGAAACTCTCCCGGAGGTGTGAGTTGAAAGTCCGTCTGACAGGGGGCTCAGCGAGACGTTCCCAGCAGACCCTCAGTATACGCTTGGGTCTGCCAGGTCTGACCGGCTTCTTCCCCTGCCAGCGGATCCAACTCACGACCAGGTGATGATCGGTTGACAGCTCCGCCCCTCTCTTTACCCGAGTGTCCGAGACACGCGGTCGAAGGTCAGATGATACGACAACAAAGTCGATCATCGACCTCCGGCCTAGGGTGTCCTGGTGCCACGTGCACTGGTGGACACCCTTGTGCTCGAACATGGTGTTCGTGATGGACAAACTGTGACTGGCACAGAAGTCCAACAACTGAACACCGCTCGGGTTCAGATCAGGGGGGCCGCTCTTCCCGATCACCCCTCTCCAAGTGTCACTGGCGTTTCCCACATGGGCGTTGAAGTCCCCCAGGAGAATAACGGAGTCCCCGGGCGGTGCACCGTCCAGTACCCCTCCCAAGGACTCCAAGAAGGCCGGGTACTCTGCACTGCTGTTAGGCCCGTAGGCCGTCACAACAATGAGAGACTTGTCCCCCACCCGGAGGCGGAGGGACGCGACCCTCTCATTCACCGGGGAGAACTCCAACACGTGGCGGCTGAGATGGGGGGCAATGAGAATGGCCACCCCAGCTCGCCGCCTCTCCCCGCGGGAAACTCCAGAAAAGTGGAGCGTCCAACCCCTCTCAAGGAGTTGGGTTCCAGAGCCCAAGCTGTGTGTGGAGGTGAGGCCGACTATCTCTAGTCGGTATCGCTCAACCTCCCCCACAAGCTCGGGCTCCTTCCCCCCCAGTTTCCTGAAATAACTCTATCAAAATGGGTGTAGAGTGTATTTACCTGTAACTTCCAGGGGCACAGTGTCCTGCTCATCGTTGATTCCCACTACAACTTCACAGCGGTACAGCCCGGAGTCACTGGAGCGCAGCCCGGTCAAAGCCAGAGAGGCATTGTAGCGGTTCTCATTGTAGCCAGGGAGAGACACTCGACCCTGGAAAGCCTTCTTTACCTGAGGATAGAGATAGACGCATTGGACTTACCTTGACTGATTTTATAATGGTCCCTACTGCTATTCACCTTTCACAATTTAATTGTATGGCTATTCATGCTGAATATATCATAAGCAGCAATTCATTGTATTGCTGCAGAGTAAGTAGATTGTCTGGTTGCTTTACCCTTTTGCTCAAACTAATTGGTTAGAGGTGCTCTGATCAGGATGTTTAAGGCTGACCACCGATACCAATTTTAATTTTTCCCTTCTATTTCCCTTCTGTTATATATTTGGACAGCTGCTTAACTATTATTTAATAGATCTAATAAAGTTGCAGCGTTTGATTGACATCATCAATTGTTTCCTCCTGCTTTCTACCTCACTATCATGCTCAATAAGGATGATTGACTTCTAGTAGTATCACTATTGTGATACCACTGGTTAATGGCTGATATTTGGCATGTCACCATAAAACAGTTTCAAATCAGTCAATATTGACCACTATTATTGAACCTTTTAACCAGCAATGAAATGTCAGTTGGTCAAGTTGTTTTTCTTTTCAATGTTCTCAATGTCTTTTCAAAGTGTTTTTCCAAATCTGTAGTTTTTCTAATTATTGGCATTCTAATATCGGTAAGTATAATGCTATAAACGGGGCAGTTATAGCTGAATAAAACATATTGCCTTATCCCTTCTGCGTACTCTGTTATGTGCTCAAAATCCTCGAGAAGAACAAGATCAATACTTTGGCTAATGTATTACACCCAACAGAGAAGCACTATTATATTCTGAGGTGTCCCATACCTTCACCACATTATCTTTGGCCACCAGCACAGACTGCTCTTTCTGCACACCGTCCGAGCCCTGCTGGCCCCACACCTTGGTCCACTTGATCCTCGGGGGCTCAGGGGAGGAGCTGGTCCCCGGACGCAGGGTAAAGAGACAGGGCAGCAGCACTGTTTTGGACAGCTCCTCTGTGATGGTTTTATGAGTCACCTTCCTCATGTTCACTACAGTGTCCCCGCCAGTCACTCCTAAAAGAGATGAAAGAGCACATCAGAGACATCTAATTCTAAAGGCCCTTACAAATCATAATGAAAATGTTCGCGGCTTTTTGTAAATGTTTTGTAAATAGAGACAATTTAAATTAATTGAAAAGCCGTTGAATTAAGGTGTGACAATACGATTTGGAATGTCAGACTACTTACGTTTCTCAAAAGTTTAAGATGTAGAAAAAAATGTTTAAAAAAAAGTGGTTATGTGAACATCTCGAGGCATAAAAATCTCTTGTGTGCGTGGTCTTCCTTTACTCGATCACTTAAACACTGTTGAAACCTGGCCTTATCCGGCTGCTTTGAATCATGCTGCTGCTGACACCCATATTGCCCTTTGCCAACACAATGAAAAAGCTGACAAAATCAGAATCAGAATCATTTTTATTGCCACGTAAGTAACAGGAAGTCACAGACTTGGAAATTGCTTTGGCTCAGTGCAACAGTCAGAAAGAGAGGTAAAGGTAGAGGGGCATAATAAAAAAATAAAAATAAAAAGCACTTCTAAGGAATAAAAAAAAATTTAAAATAGAGATACAATTACAATTACTATATACGAAAATACAGATGTTTTGTTTAATCCAGCATAACAGAAATGATTGTATGAAGAAAGTCAAGTGAATATAAGAACAAGTGACTTTGTGGGTATACACACTATATACAAATGTAATAAGTTTTCAACTACAAGGTTCAAGGCATTAAAAATGTAATCTCCACAATGCAAACAACAATCCAACAATCTGCGATGCCTTTTGAGCGTATTCACTTTGCACCTTTAGATGATAAAACTATCCCAGAGATAGTGTTAGATAGTGTCAGAGTTCTTCCACATGAAACTTGTTAAGATTGAATATGAAAAAATTGAACTATATGCTTTTTGGTACGCGTCATTCTCTCAGTTCTGCCAATATCAACATCACTTTCAATAACGGCTCCTCAATGATGAGAGAATCTTCAGTAAAATATCTAGGTGTCTGGCTAGATCCTGAACTTAATTTCAAACCACATATCGACTACATAATCAAACGCACATATGCCTGTCTAATGCCGCTTTGCCATTCATCCAATTGTTTCACACTGCAAATAAGAAAGAAAATTATCATGCAACTAATTCTTCCAATTATTGACTATGCAGACATAGTCTATCAAAACACTTATGACGTGCACCTCAAACCTCTTAATACTCTGTTTAATACCCTCTGTAGATTTATTCTTAAATGTCCCTATAGAACACACCACTGCATATTATACAGTCAACTGAACTGGCTACAGCCCGACAAAAAACGACAGTGTCACTGGCTGCAATTCGTCTTCAAATGTGTGTATTTCAATGTACCCCCATATTTGAAATGTCTTCTAGTTCCATCAACAACAACCTACTTCCTTAGACACTCTGAATATCCTTCTTTTACTACTCCTTTGATACGGAAAGAGGTCGGTCGGAGGTCCTTCTCTTTTAAGGCTCCTAATGACTGGAACCATCTTCCCATAGCATTAAGGTCAATAACCACTTACGGACTCTTTAGAACTTCTCTGCATACACATCTCAATACGGATTGCTTATGTTTGTAGGCTCTTTTGATATACTTTGTTTGTACAACAATACTTGATCTTGACTGGGAAGGGGAGAGGGTTGTGTGAGCAAGATTGTCTTGTTTAATGTTTGTGTTGATTTATTTATTTCTGTTTTTCTGTATTACATTTGTTATGTTTTGTGTTATATTGTTGGTTTGTGTAACTAAGTGTTGTACATTGTTTGTATTTGTTTTATGTTTGGCCCCCCTTGCAAACGAGATGTTTCATCTCAAGGGGTTTTCCAACAATAAATTGAATTGAAATTGAATTGAATTGAAACCTGGATGTACTACCCTAAAGTCTGTTCTGAGAAGTCTCGATAGATAGATTGTAAACGTTTTGCTTTCTGGAGAGTTCCGAAAAACAGTGGTCATCAGGCCTCTCCTAAAAATGAGCAGCCTAATCGGCCATCTGAAATCAGACATTTATAGAAAGGTTTCTTGATTTTGTCTACCAACATATTACCACATTTTTCCAAAAAAACAACTCATTTGATATGTCCCGGTTTTGGACCCCACCACAGCAGAAATCCATTCATTAACAAATGCAGCCCGCGGAGATTCATTCTGGAAGAATGAATGACTGCTACAGCCCATCCCTTCCAGGCCTGCCTCACATCCTCAGCCTATCGCTCAGCAAACGCCCATTTCCAACCAACCTATGCCCGCCAGGCCAGCAGCTTAGAAGCGGAGAACTCCCACTTTACGGCCTTCCCAAAGCCTTGCAACCACCGCCTCCCCTCCTCCTCCTTGTCTCTTCCTCTTTCCTGCTGCCCGAATGCCACCACCAGTACCTACAGTAGGTCCTGGGGGGATTGTGCGCGCACTCACGCAGGAGCCTTGCTGACTGAACGCCGCACCGGGGCCTAGGGCGCCAAACTACCTATCAATTAAAACATTCAAACTGCATTTTGTCTTATGAAGTCTCTCCAGATTGAAAAAGAATTTGGAAGATGATTTGGATCACCCTCAAATTGTTCTCTGGGCCATTGCGCATTTTTTCCAAAAACCTTGTTCAATTCCTCCAATACATTTTTGAGTTATGTTGCTCAAAGTCAAACAAACAGACAAACGCTGGTGATCACTTCAACATTAAACCTGCGTGTTTAATCATCGACTGCTTTTATTCAAGGCGACAGGTGCTTTCCTTCTTGGCATTTCTGATCTTCCTGGTAAAAGCGCACTGAGGCTGATTATTGCCCATCGATTGGGCAGACTCTTGCTGTGCTATAGCTCAACAGTGGGAGGCAGAGTTATATGGAGGTGGGAAAGATAACAAAAGTCCTTTCATAAGCCATACTGTACATCAAACATGGTTATGTATTGTGAAATCAATAGCCCCACCAGCTCTTTGTAGCTTTACGCAGCTCTTCCACTGATACAAATATTAAATCCACTCATAAGCCTGCACAAAGGAAAACACATACACTATTTGCAATAGGTTTGTAGACTTTGTTGGACTTGATCGTCAAATTTCACCAAATCTCAAATCCTCGTTCAAGTTGTATTCATCCAAACATACTGTAATTAATGCATTTTGCTCCATTGGACGTTTACACATTCTTTGAAAACAAGAAACTTCCTCAGCTGCATTATTATTGTAAATTGATTTCATTTTCTACCGTTACTGAGACTGAAGAAATCAGTTTTTGGATCTCAAAATAGTAGCAGTGGAAAGGATAATGCTTTTAAGGCTGACTCAAGCGACTGTGGAAATCCGAAGTTGGGCTTTGATGAATAAGGAAAATAGAAAGAAAGAGAAACTAGAACAGCCTATCAAAGACTGAGGGCGGAAACAAGCCAGTGCTGATGTACAGAGATTGAAGGCAAGAATTGTATTGGCTTTCTCCTAATTAGTGTCAGTTCGCACCACCGCAACACTTCTGACGTCCCTTACAAGTTTGGTCTGATTGGATGCATATTATGACTGGTTTCTCGACCCCCAATTGTAATTAAATAGAGAACCAGACTGAAATATTTCACGGTTAAGCAAAGTCACTTGTGGATTTCTAGCACCTCTTCATCGTATTCATTATTTTTTCTTCATGTCACTCCATGTACTGAGAATAAAATATTTGCAGATTGGAACATATTTCAGATGGAGCATTGGTTTTCTCTCTTTGATCATCAGCAGTGCGCTGCGAATCTGCAAACAACACATCTGTGTCATCCATAAAGCAGTCTACCCCATCTGTGCTCTACTGCTTAGTTAGTTATAGTTAGTTAAGATTTATTTCAAACGTGCAGAACATGATTTTCCATATTTTCCACTAGTACAGGTTTGAAAAGGGATTGGATTAAGTTTATTTTTTCCCAACCCCCTTTCAACCATTCAACACAATAATATACAGAATACAAATGTAATACTGTGCAGTACACACAGTGTTATACAATATCTTACTTTAAGGTATGAGACACATATATCTACAACAACCCTACAACAAACCCAAACACACACACACACACACACACACACTCACACACAAACAACCCAGCCCTCTGCTCCCATCACCTGCATCATTCACTCCTCTTTAATAAATGTATTAACATGATTGCATACTGTATATAGCATACATCAGATGTGTCCAAACCGGTCCAGAAAGGGCCGCTGGGGCTGCAGGTTTTCTATCAGACCCAGCAGGAGCAGAGCAGAGTCCACCCATTTCATCAAATCTTCAGGTTAAGACTGAACTCACTTGAGGAAATGGGCGAAGTCTGCACTGCTCTTGCTGAGTCTGATAGAAAACCTGCAGCCACAGCGGCCCTTTCTGGACCAGTTGGACACCCCTGCCATACATGTACCTAAACGTACAGTCACTTACAGTCTCTCTCCCTAAAACCTTCAAACAAGGTCAGAAATCTAGGGGTAATACTGGACTCAGACTTAAATTTTAATAGCCACATCAAATCAGTAACATCAGCAGCTTTCTACCACCTAAAAAACATTGCCAGGATCAAAAACATAGTGTCTAAAGCAGACTTGGAGATTCTTATCCATGCATTTGTCTCCAGTAGGTTAGACTACTGCAATGGCCTGCTCACAGGTCTGTCCAAACAGGCTGTAAAACAGCTGCAGTACATTCAAAATGCAGCAGCTCGAGTCCTGACTAGAACCAGGAAGTACGACCATATTAGTCCAGTCCTCAGGTCTCTACACTGGCTTCCTGTGGCTCAGAGAATAGACTTTAAAACAGCTCTGCTTGTGTACAAGTCTCTCCATGGCCTCGCACCAAAATATATTAGTGACATGTTAGTCCCATATGAACCAGCCCGGACTCTGAGGAGCACAGGGACTGAACTCCTGCTGTTGCCCAGAGTCAGGACTAAACATGGGGAGGCTGCTTTTCAGATTCATGCTGCAAAAATCTGGAATAATCTT